CAACACATCTTATACTGGCCTTCCGCCGCTAATCTTTATCCTGTAAGTGACAAGTCAGCTCGAGAAACAATAGAAGGACTTGCGCCCAAGGTACACCGCGTTGAGGGCAAGGCCACTCATTACTGCTGTTTGTCAAATTCAGTTGCGATTTCAGCTTCCCCATCAAGTAGTTCATCAATCCCAATCAGAAGCAGCTGCTTCCTCGAGTTGGACACTGATGGAACCCGTTTACCTCACCTCGTCCTGTAGACTCTAGTCCAGCTCCATCAAGTCGCTTGGGAACTACGACTGTTCCTTGTATATCTCGTTCGTTATGGTTCAACACTTTCCATGCTCGTGCAGTTAAGGAAAATGGTGGATAGGTGGGGAAACAGACAGACAGGTGCTGACAGTTTGCAGAGAAGCGGGTTTGGACAAAAACAAAGGCAAAGAAGACAGACAAGACCAAAAAAAAGGTTCTTTGAGTAGTGTCTCAATGCTGCAACAAAACGTACGCTCAAAAGTGGCTGCGATCTCAACCTGTCCCTGAGTGATAGTAAAATCGGGCAACGTCGCCCGGAATCCACTTTCCGCGTCCCGGTCTAGAACTGCTGCTATACTGGCAATTCCAGAGGACATGCTATTCCGGCCCTGCCTCTAAAACCTTGTCTCCGACGAAGCGTATTCTCACCTTGCCGTCGTATACATATATCCATGTTGTTAAACAGCATTCAGGTTTGCTTTTCGTTTCAGGACCTGATTTGTGAGATTATGGCGTTCTTGTGGTCACAATGATTTTTCTGGCAGTCAACCTCACATCTCTTCCACCGTACCTTCTCATCATTGCTGTATGTATTAAGGGAGTACAAACACAATTCAGCGCTACGAACGTTTTATTTAATCATGACCTCTCAGGTGAAGAAAAATTCTCTTATTCCATACGAATGCCGTTCCTTCATTCCCTTACTGACAATCTCTGATGCCTCAATATATGCTCATCATACTCGTAGGCCCGTAGCAATTCCAGCTCTCTCTCCACTACCAGAAGCACTACACACCGCAGCCATCTGATCTGATCCTCACCCCTCACCCAGTGAAATATTAGGGGCAGCAATTATTTCTATTTACATTCGCCAGCACTAAATTCTGTAGTGCTCCTGCCTAGACATCAAATGAAGCTGAACGACTCGTTTTCTGCAGTTCAGATCGGTAGTGAGTGCAATAATTTTGATCGCAATGGAATGTAGCAGTAAAGGGTGCTATAATTAGATATTAGCCACTTATTCGACTAAATTCCCTAACCCGAGAAAGGTTGACAAGGGAACCCCGACTCCTTCTGGCATTTCATGCGCTCCACGACTCCACCAAGCGATATCCTCATCGTTGGTCTGTTTTCAAGTACAGTGCAGTTCGCTGCGGACGGTTGGGCGTGTCAGGCAAGATGAGTTTGGCGCGGTGCCAAACCCGTTCTCCACCAGTTGTTAAAGCGAGCAAATATGACTGTATCATATCGTTCGTATTACTCGTTTTCTACCACTTTTGTCGCATGCGCGCTTCAACAAGAAGGCAGAGAACGGCTTTGACGGGGTGACACACTCAGCTGACACGCCCAACCGTCCGCAGCGAACTAGAGTATATTTAACAGAATTTATCATAACGATTTTCTTACTCCGGTGATACAAAATTATTCTGTGATACGACAGAAGATCCTCTATGTGTAATGTACTCCTATAAACAGTTGGCTATCCATCCATCAGTCCTTGGAATGCGCTATGGATACCGCATTGCGAGGACTGATGGTACTGTTAGGCGCCAATGTTCTTTCTCCTCTAACTAATAATTGTGTGAAAACAAACAGCACAACGCCGGATGGACTCGTCACATTTAGCGAAGATGCCGATGGAAAAAAAAACGGAATGTTCCCCCGCTCCTCTACACATGCCTGCCACTTTTCTTGCAACCCCACAGGGACGCAACGCGTGCAAAAACCATATCACAGTATCAGTTTTGCCTTTGTACACGGCCTACCCTTCGGATTTTTGAGCTATTCTTACTTAAGATTAATCTTCAACTATTTTATCAAAACGATCAAGTGGCATAAAACCAAAAATGGAAATTAAGACGGCATAAAACAATTGTTGATAAAGCCACTGATAATTTTATGAGATCAGCTCTTTGTGTAACTATTGGAAATTCAGAAGCTTCAGAACGTCCACGTGAAAGGCTCACTTCAAGCGAAAGTGGCTTATGCAATGTAGCTCAATGGCTAATGGGTTAAAGACAATTCCCGCGATCAAGTGTTCGGGTAATTGGTGCTCAGTCACGAAGCAGTGGCCCATTTGTAACCCCCAGTGGAAAAAAATCGAAAAAAACTCGCGAACACCCTGAACACAGACCTCCCTTTAGCAGTGGGGGCGGGGCCTGGACGAGTGTGCCGGACGTGGCTGCCAGAAATCGATGCGGCAGCCGCAATTGCGTCCCGACTTTCGAAATAGGATACTTTAAAGGGAAGCAGCTCGGGACCGGACGCCTCGT